CTCCCTCAGCCGTTTACCCAGAGGTGCTGTTGGTGCTCGGGGTGGACAGCTGCACCAGCGGGTAGCCCCAGATGAAGCCCAGGCCCGTGAGGCCCAGGAGGCTGTGCTGCCCCGAGACGCCGGTGAGCACCTTGCCGGGCTGGTCGGGCGCGGCGGCGAAGGTGCGTCCGGCCTCCTGCCCGAAGGAGACCCAGCGCCCGAGGTCGGTGTAGAAGACCAGGTAGCGGAAGAAGCTCTTGCTGGAGCCGTACACGGAGGTGATGTGCTCGCCCGGCCACAGGGCGAACTCCTGCGGGATGCCGTCCTTGCCCCCGCACGTGGCGCTCCAGGCGGGGCCTTGCTTCAGCTCGATCCTGGGCCGGGGGCGGGGGCGGGGGGAGCCGTGACGCCCCACCCGCCCTGCCCCGCCCACACTCCAGCAGAGTGGTGCTGTGGTGCTGCACCCTGCTCTGCCCTCAGGGACTCTGGGTGGGGCCCCAGCCTCTCCGGGCCTCAGTTTCCCTCCCCGTGACGCGGGTGACAGCTGGGGACCAGCGTGGCGCCCCTCAGGCCCTGCCGAGGCTGGGCGGGGAGCTGGCCTGGCCTGGCCGTGGCCTGAGAAGAGGCGGACCCCACCTGGGCCCGCTGGCTCCCCTCGAGTCCGGCCTTTCTGGGCCGCCCACCTGGGGTCTCCCCGGCTCCTCCGCCCGGCCGGGTGCTGCCTGCTCAGCCCACTGCGCCCCCAGGACCCGGGACCCCGAAAGCCCTGAGCACATCGGCCCCGGGCCCCCAGGCCCACACCCCCACCTGGCCTTCTCTCAGGCTGGAAGGGGGTGGGCGTGAGTGGGCGGGCCTGGGGGTGCACACCACTGCCCCGCGCCCCTACGCACCCCTTAATGAGGCCGGCCACGCCGATGTACACGCGGATGGCGGTGATCTCGCTGTCGCTGCTCTCGGGCACCGAGCAGTAGGAGCCGCGCCCGGCCCCGTACATCTCTAGGGCGGGACGGCACGGGACCGCTGACGGGGGCCCTCACACGGGGCGTCCGGAACCCCGGGAGGCCCCCGGCCCAGGGCAGCCCCACTCACGGCTGGCCCGGCAGGCGCCGCACCACAGCAGCAGGCTCAGCCACGGCAGCATGGTGTCGAGGCTCCTGGGGAGAGGCACGGGGTGCAGCAGGCCCGCGCCCCGCTCCCCGCCCGGCCCGCGCCCCGCCCGGCCCGCTCAGCCCTACCTGGCAGCGGTCTCCTCGAGTCTGCCCACGTCCTGGGCGCCTGCACTTGGGGCCTTTATACCCGCCGGCCCCGTGGCCCCCCCCAGAAGGAAGGAGCTGCGCGGGGGCCGCCCCGGGGGGGTCCCCGAGTACCCTGGGGCGGCTCCGGATGCGCTGTGTTTGCTGTCCTGGCCCCGCGGCCTACACAAACAGCTCGGGACCGTGACGGCGCCCGCCGTCCCCTCTGGCGTCTCGGCACCTGGCGAAGCCACAGCGGCGGGTGGGGGGGTCTCCCGGCTCGGCCCGCGG